TAGAACATTAGATCTGAATGGATTAAGATTAATTGTCTTACACCAAGAAATTAAGGTAACGATTTAAAATGAATATTAGATTTTCACTTTTCAAGGTTCATCTTTTTTTTCATCCTCATCATGAGTTGGTGATGAAAAAATAGACAGACAAATAGAAAGAGAAATGAAGGCTGATGATGAAGATGAAGATGATGAGGAGGAAAATTAGTGACAGTTAATCTTATGGGAACCCCGTCAGGAGACTAATTCCCGTTCACATGGTGTATTAGAACTTTTTTTTTCCTTTTCCAATGAAAATGAAAGAGAGAAAATTTTGTTTCTATTACCAAAGATTCTTGGGAAAAACATTGAAAATACAAATTCGTATCCTGGTGACTTGTAAATTGCTTCCGATGGCGATCCTAGTGTTCACTTGGATGATGATGAAGATGAGTTGTAACCTTTTACTTTTAATTATCTTCATCGTCATCATCATTTTCTACTCATCATCATCATCCTCTGGATGTTTATTGTTACACAATCTGAATAAACTATTTTTAGCTGATAGACTTTGAAAGTTATCATTAAGTTTTTATTTTTCTCCTTTTGTTCAAACCAAGTTCATTGAGCTTCTGAGTCCAATAATTATCATCTTCATCCTTAGCATCATCATCATCATTATCTTATCATTATTGTTATCATCATCATCAAACTCCCCACCATCATCATCATCATCATCATCATCTTTGAACACTAATATAAAGAGATGAAGAAGATGATGAAAGATGAGAATCTGTTATTTACTATTCTCTAATACTAACTCACTCATCATCTTCATTTTCATCCTAAAGTTGATCCTCATCTTATCCTCATCATTATCATCATATTGTTGAAGGAAAAGGTTTTTCTTGTTACTGGATTTTTAATAAACAAAATGAAGTAGTTGAAGAGACTCAGAGTCAATAGAGAGAGTGAGTGAGTGAGTGAGTGAGAGAGAGAGAGAGAGATTAATATAAACAGAGGATAAAGATTAAGGATGATGATGAGGATAAAGATGAGGCTTTGAAACCCACACCCAAAGCAGTTTCATGATGATGATGAAAATATTTTACATTTTAAAAGCATCTTTCCTAACATGATGATTAGTTAGTTAGAGAAAGACTTTCCTTTCATTTGTGAAACAATGAGAGTTAACAGTTAATTGTTTACTGGATTTAAGCTCGTTAATTGTTAACTGTGATTGTCTTTGTATCCTCATCATAATCACCAACAAAGAGATGACAAATATCATAAGAACATTGTATTAGCAATCATACACTTTCAGTGTGTATGTATTTGTGTGCCTAGGGAAAAGAGGTTTTGTTTTTCCATCCTCATCCTGATCCACCACCACCACCACCACCATTTTTTACCACCCTCTCTGTATACACACACACACACTCACCATACAAACCATAACAACATCAACAAACCACTCATACCTATCATATTACCTGGTGTATTATGACCAGTTAATCACATAAGTAGAAAGCATTGTAAACATTGTTCATGTTGTTGTTACAAAATCCACCACCACCACCATCAACCTCTCCTCCTCTTCCTCCTCCTCTCATCCACCTCAACTAGTCCAGTTAACATAATCCACCACCACCACCACCACCTTCAAATGAATATCAAGTTACAATTACTTTTTGTTTGTTTATTTATTTGCAATTTAAACAACTCAAACTAGACTAACCATTAACAATTTGCATAATTATTTATCTAATCATCATCAGTGAAACCAGACTAATTTACATGCACCATTAAGAGTAATGTTTGAGGAACGAGCAAAAAAAAAAGATCAACTTATACTCAGGTAAACACATTGACAACACCAAGAAAAACAATTTGATGTCTTTACTATACTTTCATTGATGATAATTTGGAAACAATTAATTTTACAAAGTTAACCATCATCATCACCCAGGTAACAAAATCATCGAGATGATTTAATTATTGTTCATCTTTTTCTTTAAACTTGTTATTGTAGACACACACACACACAAAAAAAAACTATTTGCAAGGTTGTTGTTGATTTCAGATTTTGCAAATAACCTTAAATATATTTACCTAGGTAACTTTAAGCCAAGGATGAAATGAAATAACAATCAGCCCAGGTAAAGGTACAGGTAAACTTTGCAACGAACCAGAAATGTGTGTGTGTATCAGTTTGAGCGTGAAAAATAATATCGGAATTGGCTTAAAGGTTGGGATGATTTATAGCACTGGTGATGCTAATTATCTTGGTAGCAGGTCAATTAGATGAGAGAGAGAGAGAGAGAGAGAGAGAGAGGGAGGAGGTGAATTTTCAAAAGGAGGAGGTGGTGGTGGTGATTATGATGGTGGACGTTGGTGAAAGTGAAAGTGAAAGTTTGAAGATGAAGGCTAAGGTTAAATTAGGAATCAAAAGTAGCCTCAAGGTTCCGAACAATCAACTTAATCATAACTATTAAGTGACAATCATCATACTAATTATCCTTAATCATTTGCATCTTAATGATATGTTATTCTCAATGATAATATGTACGTTTATTGTGTTCAAATTAGTGACTAATTTTAAGGTTTTTTTCTTAATCATCATTTGTATTGCATGAAAAACAATTTACTTTTTCACAATCAACAACTTGATTATCAGTTTTAACCAATATATTAACATTATGTTATTACAGAGAGTAACATAATCAACGGATTGATTAACAATCTGATCAGAGAAAAGCCAACAATCAATATAAACTAGTACATGTATATACTTTGAGTTTAATTGCTCTCACTGTTGATGATTTATGATCATGATTAACTTTCACTTTTTTTTGTTTTGTTTTTATTGTTGGTTTACCTGTTTATGTTTATTGTTATCATTAAGTATACAAGTTTCGTGTATGTTTTTGTTTTATTACCATTGATTATTTACCTATGGGATAAAATTAACTTTGATTAACACGAGAAAAGTACAGGAATCTTAGCACTTGACCGGTACACCATGTATATGTACTTGTACCGTTGGTGTGGGTCAAAAGTTTTATGTAATAATAAGAAAGAGAGAGAGAGAGATGAGATATTTTCAACGTTGATTAAGGCTCATTATTAATGATGATGATGATAAAGGAAATGATAATGATAAAGATTAAGATTGATGATGATGAAGATGAGGATTGAGATGAAATTTTACTTTTGTCCATCTTGTGAAAATCCTTATTTAAGGTTGACCATTTTAGTTGATGACACATCATCATGTCCACTACACAATCAGTAGTAATCTTTACATTCTTAAGCTTCTGCCTTATCATCATCATCATCTTCATCTTCATCTTCATCTTCATCTTCATCATGTTTTGTTTCATCAAAGGATTTAACTTCCTCTTCCTCCATTAACTTAATCCTTTCCTCTCTCCATGTTGATAATCTTACATTTGAAATTAATTGTCTACTTCAACCCTTGACCTCTCTCTATGTCCAGTCCTCTGGTCAATTGTTGTTGATTAAAACTAATCAACTGATACAACTTGAAGATACAATAAACTTGATCAAATAGTTAATTGTTTACTTTATGTTATTGGTTATGTCATTTTGATTGTTACCAATTCAGTTAATTTGAATATTTGATAAACAATCAACTTGATCAAAGTTAATCAAAGTTTTACTAATAAAATAATTTGATTGCCTTGTTGATTACAGATTAAGATGTTATTACAATTAATATTTATCTAAATACCTTTCAACACTTTGTCAACAATTAAGATAATTGTTTGACTTTGTAAATTGTTTTTTTTTTTGGTTCACAATCAAGTTGATTGTTATAAACTGTTTGATAAATAATATAATTGAATTGATCAACTGGAAACATTGGATTATGATTGTCAGTGAAAATATTTCAAGATGATAATGATGATGATGATTAAGATGATTAGTAGGATGAGGATAAAGATGAAGATGATTATAATGATAATCTAGTTTATATCAGTCAAGTGTAACTCAGGTAAATTGTTGGTAATACAAAAAGTTGTTACCTTTCAACACAATCACAAAATTTTTACCAAACAAAACAAAAATACTAAAGGTAATCATTCAAGTCTATGACAAGAAATCAGTTTTTTCTTGTTATTTGTTAAAACTTTTCATCAACATTATCATCCTCATCTTTATCCTCAATAATCAGTTAATCATCATCATCATCATCATCAGTTAACTTTCACCAATGTTTATTGTATGTTATTTTTACTATGTGATGATAATTTGTAGTTAGTGGTATTCAAGGTAAATGAAAAAACCTTAAGGATGAAAATGTTGATCAACATGATGATCATCATCTTCATCTTCATGGTAACTATTTTCCTGTTCATTGAATTGTAACTTTCATACTCTCTCACTCACTCACTCTCTCTGTATAAGTTTACCTGTGGTTCTGTGTGTGTCTCTGGATGAATTCAGATGAATAGGAAACTTTTTCTCTCTCTCTCTCTCTCTCTCTCTCTCTCTCTCTTTCGTCCTCAAGATAACTTTCTGATTCTATTGATAATATTTGTCATTGTTCAGCTTAAATGATGCAATTATAATCTGCAAGAGAGGATTAGGATTAACAAACAATTACAAATCTGTAAGTTTGTTATTTGTTGATTGTGTGGTTAAGTGAATGAGAGACATTGAAACTTGATTGTAAACAATTTAAAAAAAGTGTTTACATTAAACTAACCATCTCAAGGGAAATCAGATTAAGTCGTTGATTGTTAACAAAGAAAAACGTTTCTCAATTGAAACAATTAAATTATTACAATCAATTGAACGATAATAATTAACTTGTGGTTTTCCTCATTGATTAACTTGAATAATTATTCATCTTTCTCATCTAATTGTCAAAGTGAAAAAAAAATTGTTACTGATTAATTGATACATCAATTATCCTCATCCTTATGAAATGATGATGATCATCATCATCTTGATTGTAATTAAATTTAATTCTTATTCTTGTTCACAATTAACAGAGACCTCCTTCTCAGTCATTGAACTCCTATGGTGGACCTGGAGCCCATGATGATGTCCGTTCACCCACCGGGTCAACCGGAACCCCTGGACCTTTATCACAACAGCCCAGTTCCCAACAGAGTACCGATAACAACAGTGAAGCAGGTAAACTAATCAATTAATTGTTACCTGTCTGTGTTTCAAGTTAAACAATTTGCATAATCATTTACACATTACGCATTTGCTAATTGCTCCATCATCATCATTATAATCATCAAGTGTGTTGATACTTACAAATCAACTAATGATACAAACCAATGCAAATGAGATGAAGATGAAGACAGAAAAACAAAATCTCTCACCAACCTCTTTTCCCGCCCTTTAAAACCCACCATCAGTTATCATAATTATCATCATCTTCATCTTCATATGATAATCACCTTTTGCTTCATCACTTAATCATCTCATTAATCATTAGCATAATCCTTTCCTTTTTTTTACCAATCAAACAATTAAGATCACATTGAGTTGATTGAGTTGATTGTGTGATTATTGTTGAGTAACAAGTTGTTGTTATTAAGCTTTTCGATACTTGATATGAGATTAATTTGAAAATAGATTAGCTCACTCCCTTTATTATTATTATTAATCCATGAGATTAATATCATAATTTTTGTTTCCTCGTTTACTATTTAAATCCAGTTTAATGTGTGGAAAAATATTAATTCATAATTTCTGGTAATTTAATATTGATTACACTTTATTTTCCCTTGTGAATCAACTTTTCTAACCAGTGATTAGTTAATCTTGTGTAAATCAACAATGAATTTAAGTCTACAATTTAATTAGCTATGATAATATGATGATGATAATCTTAATCTGATTCAAGTTTATTTCCTTTTCCTCCTCATCCTTTGTGAGTCTTTTCAATTGATCAAAAACCGCAACAAAAAAAAGTGAACTTGTTTTTTTTTCCTCCAATTTTCATATGATGATAATGATGATAAGGGTGATGATAATGATGTTAATGATGAAATGCTGTACGTTTTGCATTTTGCACGTGCAGGATAAACAAAATTGTCTGAGTGAAATTTATGTATTTAATGAATGAACAGTTATATGGACACACGTTGAACAATTTTCAATCAACATGCACCAATTCAACCCGGTGGGTTATTATTTCAATTGAATCATCATCACAATTGCATTTACAATTTAACAATTACAATTACCAATCATTCAATTGTATAAATTGTAGTTGGAAACAAAGTTAAACAATCTAAATATCATTTTGAGATTTTATCATTATTATTATTGTTAATAGTTCCCAATTGGGATTGTATTGTAAATGTAACTTTGTAAATTCTGTCTGTTGATTCATTAATTGTTGGTCAATCTTCATTTAGGATTAAGGTTTAAGGCGGTTAATTGTTGGACCCACATGGTCTTAATCCCTTTTTTGTACCTTCATTAAATTGGTCAAGATAATTTATCTTTGTGGTCACGTGGTTTAGTTTATCTGGTCAGTTTGAGTTAATCCTCTTGGTCAGTGGATCTGTTTGTGTGTGTGTGTATATGTCAATGTTAATAATGAACAAGCTCCTTGACCATCAATAGTTTGGAGTATTAGTAAAACAACAAGAAAAAGGGTTTACAATTAATCATTTTGATTGTTAATTGTAAACAATTTACTAATTGTATTGTAGGTTAACCAGAACATGTTTATAATCACTCAAGTTAAAGGTTGAAATTTTCCAGTTATCGTCATGCTTTTGAATCTTCTGGTTTACTCATCTTGTAGACTATTTTTTTTCCCGCATCCTTTGTCTTCCTCATCCTTATCTTCATCATCTCATGTCTGCAGTTGACATTTTTCAAGCTTCTCTCTCTCTCTTTCTCTCTCAATTGACTCACGGAAGCCTGTTGGTGACATTACCATCAACAGCACACACACATACACAATCAACAGCCTTTCATCATCATCGTCACCATGATAACTAATGATTATTATTATTGAACATGAAGATGAAAAAATTGCAAGTCTATGGATTATCATCCTCATCATTACCAATCGATAAGCATCAGGAGTATAATATTTTTTTTTCTGGTTCATTGTCAAGCTCAGTTGGTTTCCATCAAGAGCAAATAATGATAATAAGTATCGAATGCAATTTAATTGTAATTGTAAATTGCATTTTGTTGTTATTTAATTGTTATCGTGTTTACATTATATTTAATTTGTCCAACAATTTGCCTGTAACAATTAAGTTTGAAAAGTTTTTAGGAAAAATCAGTTTTTCAATCAATGTGATACTTTGATTGTTTGATGATTTGATTAGGATGGTCACACAAATGTTGGATCATTATCAAGTTGATTATTATCATTAATGATTAGTAATTAATTAATATTTTCAAGGTTATGTATACACTTTAGTTAGGGTGGGCCAAAAGCAATTGCTTTTGTCTTATTTCTGGTTAATCAGACACCAATCATAATCATGATGATATTTAAGTCTTACCTAATTTGCTGCAGCATTTAAGTTAATTGCTTAACATAAGCTCACCGGTTGAAGCGAAAGTTGCAAACTGAATTATGTTACACTGAAAATGGCCTCGGGTCGAGATGATATTAGTGATGATGAGAGAGAACGAGAGAGCTAAAGCTCTAAGGGCTTGAGGGCTTGGAAGAGAAAAAAAATTCGCTCAAAATTTTTTCTTTTCTGATCTAAGCTTATGTTCATATCCATGTGCTCAAGGCTGTGTTATTATTATCATCATTATGATTATTAGATAATTTGTAGTAAAAGATGATAAAGAAGACGAGAGAGAGAGAGAGAGAGAGAGAGAGTTTCTCATCTTTCGCTATTCATTATCATCATATTTTTGTCTTCTCTTTGTATTTCTCTTCATCTCTTTTCCCCTCTATGTATCTTAGCACCTTAGTCTCACTATCATCATCATCATCATCATCATCGTTTTTATCTTCTTTTTATCATCTTCTCTCTCTCTCTCTCTCTCAATGATTATAAATATTCATTATCAAAAATCAAGCTGCTAATAATAATCAACTGAATGTATGATCAATTTATAAACATGTCTCTTTCAAATACATTTCAATCATTATCATGAATTTTCAATTCCAATCATTACTTATTCAGGGATGAATTTGTTTCCTCATCATTTTTGCATTGATCATTATTTATTTGATGATGATGATGATGATGATGGTGTTGGGAGGGAGGAGTAGGAGGAGCGGGGATGTAATATTATTATCCTTTTTTTTCATTATCTTGTTTAACTATTACAATGAACGTGTCTTTTTGAACGAGATAACTATCATTAGGATGACGGATTTTTTGTCACCACAAGAAAAGACTATTTTATTAAGCAAGAGACAAGGAGAGGAAGAGGAGGAGGAGGATAAGGTGGGAATCGGTGGTGGTGGTGGGAGGGTAGTAGGTGGATCGAGAAGGTGAAAATATGTAAATGTGATTCAACTCAATTTGCTTTAAATAATATAGTTGTTACACTCTCTCACTCCCTAGTAGTTTTTTACCATTGGAATATAAAATTAGCAATTGGACAATTGGTTGACTTGATGCTGTTCACACTTTTTGCTTGTTTCTTCAAGATGATGAGATGATAATCATTTAGAGTTTTAAATCATATGTTTGTTTCATAATCATCATCACTATTAGCGATATTAAAAATGAAGATTATGATGATAAGGGGGAGGGAGACGATGATAAAGTGTAAATTCATGTAGAGAGAGAGTAACAAAAGCTCGTGGGAACCTTATTAAAATGGTGACCAGAAAAAAAAGATGAGAGATGAAGATAAACTGATGAGGATGATAATGAGAGAGAGGACCTATGGTTGATGGTAATGATGATGTTGATTGAGAAGATGGAGATGAAGATGATGGAGAAATTAACTGAGGAAAGAAGAAAAGAAGAACGAGAAGACAGAGAAAGAGAGAGAGAGAGAGAGACCGGAAGATGGAGAGAAGTCAAGACGTGTTTGTTTTCGAAGGAGGAAAGAATAAGATGAGAAGATACAGGGTTGAGAGAGAATATGAGGGAGAAGGAGGGTGGAGGAGGCAGTGGAATATTAAGATGGAAAATTAGAATGAAGAGAGAAAAGAAATTGGAAGATAAATGGAGGATGAGAAAGACCAGAGGGTGGAAAAGTCGAGGTGGGGATGAGGGATATTCTTAAGTAAGATTAATTACTTTTGTTGGAAGACAAATAGGACCAAAGGACCCAAAAGACCGGAAAAAGAGGGTTGAGAATATGAAATTTACTCTATTTGAATGGTGATGAAGACAAGAAGATACATTATCATCCTCATCTTCTTCTTCTTCATCATCTTCACTTTTACATGTAATGGTTGAGAAGATGTAACAAGAAAATTAGACAGAAAAAAAGAAAGAAAAATACTCTTATCATGTATTCATTATTTATCTTCCTCTGTAATTATTTTTATAATATAATTAGAAACATCATCTTCATCCTCATCCTTATCATCATCATCATCGTGATGATTATTTCATGATACCGATTATATCATGCACCTCATCATTGGAGTACAAATCTTATTGCGTTAATAAAATTGTTAAAATTTCAATCAGTATTTAATTGACTATTAAATTTGATTGCTGATTGAATGATTAACTGGATTAAGAGAGAGAGAGAGAGAGAGAGAGAGAGAAATGAAAAAAATATCATTTATGATTTAAATCTCATCACTTGCTTAGGAGAAGCTAATTTAGTGACTCATTTATAATCCATTGCGTGAGGATTTACAATCAGTATGATGAAGATTACGATGAATGGATTAATGATAATGATAATCATCATGTAATAAAAAATGTCATCATGATAAAAACCATGAAATTGATTGACTAGATTTGATGAATAAAAGGAAAGGAGAAAAAAAATGTTCAGGTTAATCTGTTGATCACAGAGATAAAGGATTAAACATCTTTGGTTAGTGTTAATCCCTTGGGAGATTAGATTAACATATAATCCTTTTGTTTCTTTGCTTTTCTTTTGCTTGACCAATAAAAAAACCGGACACACACAGTGAGTGAGAGAGAGATTGACCAGATGATGACCAACAAAACTTATCACCAAAATATAATTAGAACCACAAAAGGTACTAATGAATTGTAAGGATTAAGATTAACTCTTTAGTTTCGAGTATCTTTTTTACCTTTGCTTTTCTTAATCTTCTTCAGTTTGTATTAACCTTTAATGAAAGTTGTGAGGAAAAACAAAAACAAAAACATTGACCTAACCCGATCCTCTCTCACTAACTCAGGTGATAATATTACTTGGGGTTATAAAGATATCTGAAAATATTAGAGGAAAAAAAAAGGATTTAGGTTTTATTGTTTAATCCAAAATGGATTCTTATCTTTCTTTAATCCAAGATGACCATTTATCCATAAATGTAATATAAATACGAATATATTTTTACTCCTAAATGAACAACCAATTGTCCGAAAGTAATCCAATCAATCGCCTTTTCCTTGTTATATGTTGATCTTTTTTTGCTTCTTCTTTTCTTCTACTTTGCTTTAATATGTTCGAGATTAAGATTAACGTTTACTTACCTTTACAGAGATTAGCTCACTTGGACTATCATAATCATGATCCAATATCTAAATAATACTGAAAAGTTAGGGGGCAAAAAGAGTAACCAAAAAAGGGATGAGGTGAAAGATGAGATTAGTGAATTATTATTATTATTATTTTCTTTCTTTGGATAATGAGATATATCCTCTTAATCCTTCATGTAAAGTATTTATCATCACCATCATCATCATCATTACATCCTGAAAATACCTTTAATCTTTTATTCAAACCATTTAACGCCAGTTTTTATCTTCCTCTTTCTTTTCTTGCCTTTATCATCATCATCTTCATCTCTCTCTCTCCGTTATATTTGTAACCTTTGTCCTGTTACCTTTTTATCAATGTTGATAAAATGATGAGGATGGATAATAGTTTAGTTTGTAAATCGGATTGAGTTTTTAAGGTTTTCCAATTATTTGTTATTTGGTTTATCATTTGATGTCCACACAATGCTAATGATGATTATGGATGATGAGAGAGAGTGAGTGAGTGAGAGAGAGTGATAATGATGACAAGGATGGGAAATACTGTTGAGGTGTAAGTTGTGAAAGGTAAATATGATTAGAGTAATTTTTTTAGTTCTTCTTGCAATGACAAATGATAATCAGAAAGGAGATTTAATTACTATTAAGACGATTATAATTTTCGGGACAGAAATTAGGGAGAGATGATGATGAGGAAGAGAAGAGGAGGAGGAGGAAGAAGTAGATGAAAAGGAGGGAATATGTGTGTCGAAGGAAAATGAGAGAGAAAAAAAGAGTGTAGAGAATTTGATAAAAATCGAATCCGCTCCTTAGAACTTTTTTTCTTTTATATTCTTCTGACGTTCTGACAGCTTATTAAATGCACGTTCTCATTTCTTCCTCTCTCTCTCTCTCTCTCTCTCTCGCTTTCTCTATCAATTACTTGCTTTTTTACTCCCTGCTGATTCTCATCTTCATCTCTCTCTCTCTCTTTCGTCTTCCACATCTTTGTGAGTATCCAGGTAAATGCATCAGTTTCTTGATCTATCTAAAGGCCATTAAAGGTGATGGTCTCTTTCTCGGTTTGCCCACATATTACCTCATGTCACCAACCTTTTTTTTCTTACTCATCCTCATCTTCCTCATCATATTCCTTTATCTTCATCTTGTTCGTCTTCCCAAAATGTTTCTTCTTCTTTCATTTTCATCTTCTCTTATTCCCTTCGAAAAAAAACAACCTCACGCCAATCATCTTGCTCTTTTTTCTGCTTCTCTTTTTTTTGTTACTTTTTACCTGTCAATCATTTAGAAGGAAAAAGAAAAGGTATATAGATGATGAGGATGAAAGGTGAAGATGAATATGATGAGAGAGAGAGAGAGAGAGAGAGAGAGAGAGAGAGAGAGAGAGAGAGAGAGAGAGGAAGAGGCCAGCGACCTTCATCATCCTCATCATTATCATCGTTATCATCTCTTTATTTTTCATCTTCATCTTTTTATCTGTGAGTTTTTCAGTCTCAATTCAGACCAATGGTCAGTTTTTCAATTGACCCAAGTAAATTTCTCCTTCATTAACTAATTACAATTAATTATTTCCAATTTCAAAACCAATGATACTCATTTAAAGCCAAGCATTAAGTCAGATGATTATGTTAATTGAATGAAACTCATTTAGTATTATATTTAAAGTAATCAAATTCAATCAGTGAAAAAAATTCATTGATAAGTATCAATTTAAATTGATTAATTAATGCTAATTATCAAGAAAAAGAGAGAGAGAGAAAGAGATAAATGAATTAAATGATCAAGTGATACAGATACTTTTTGGTTATCAAATTAATTGTAATTAAGATTAAAATCAACATGTGTTTACATTGATTAAATTGTTGTGATTATATAATAACTATCGCAATTAACTAAATACTACAACTAAATTTGGTGGATGTTGATGATCTGCAATTTCAAATGTAAATGATTATAATTGTAAACCATTAATTGACCAGAACACGTTCAGAGCATTTAAAATTGTGGTTATATCTTAATTTTTATTTTCTCTCCATGATTCTAATCATGTTAATTGTTAATCTTAATTGTTCAACAGGAGATTACTTACTTCCAGGAGCTTTTTTAGGTGATGCTTCTGTCGGTAGTGGGGATGGAACCGGCGAGGATGATGATGAGGAACGAAATAAGAAAAGACAAAAGAAACGAGGAATTTTTCCCAAAGTTGCAACTAATATAATGAGAGCTTGGCTATTTCAACATTTAACGGTAAGTAGCCGATGACCACTGGTCAGAACAATCAACAATCAGCCTTATATTTGCATGTAAATATCATTGTGATGCCTTGAGGTGCGAGCGCGCGTGCATGGGTACGTACAAAGGTTTAGGTGTGAAAGTTTTTTTTTTCATGTTTCGAGAGGAAAACAAATTTTATGGAAATTTTTTTCTCTCTCAATTGTGTTGATTGTTTGAATAGTGATTAATTTAACTTTCATCTGAGTTGATTAATGTTTATTATTAACTTTACAAGATTAAAGCATTAAAAGGGATAATGTTATTAATTGAAAAGTTGATCATGATGATTAGGATATTTGGGTGACAGTTTTATATTGAATATGAGAAAGATTTTCATTCAATGACATTTATTAAAATTTGAATGTTAATTTAGGATGATGAGGATGATAAAGATGATGAGGAAAAGTGTTTACAGTTAGTATATATATAAGGAGGAGGCAAAAGTGGGTGGGAAAATGATGAAGATGAAGATGAAGATGAGGATGAGGAGGAGGAGGAGAGGGTTGATTATGATGAGGTGACATTGAAATCGGTGTGTGAGTGTGTATATGTTGAGTTGACAGTTGAATAGTAAATGAAAATGACTTTTTAAATCTAATTTAAATATATGAAGAATTGAAGATGAGGAAGATAAAGAAGAGGAAATCCAATGTCATGAGAAATGGTATGAAAATATGATGATGAGAGGATGTAAAAGGATGCAGATGATGATGAGGATGATGAAGAAAAGGAGTGAAAAATCAACAGTAACTTTTGGAAATTGAATTAAATTGAATTCATTGGACAATGTTAAGTAATCATAATGATGATAATTATTGATTCAAATTGTGATATATGAACAACAAAAGTTCAAATCATGTAACATCATAAGTATTCACAGTGAATGGCAGTTGATCATTTCCCACCTTCACCTTACTCCTCCTCTCCCACCTTCCACCCTATTATTATCATCATCTCTTTATAATAAGGATGTATGTGTGTGTGTGTGTCTATGTGTTGATCTAAATGGTTGGTTAGCAAAATAAAAGGATGAGGATAAAATGAGATGTCAATCTAATGGTTGATTTTTTTGTATATTCAATATCATGTGACATCCTCATCTCTGATATAATCTTCATCTTTATCTTCATTATCATGACGATGATGATGATTTCAAATGAAATGAATTTCTCTCTCTCTCTCCCTCTCCCTCTCCCTCTGTTACGTTAACAGTTATCATCCTATCATCTTGCTGAATTCTGTGAATGAATTGACGTTTACATAGTTTGAAAATTTCTTTTCAATCGTAAAAAAATCAATTTATCTTCATCTTCTCATCATCTTCATTCATCCTTTGAGGTTTACACCTTTGATATTGAGGTGGGAGGGATGATGACGAGAAAAGGATGAGGATGCTTATTTTAAATATTTGATTTGATATTCAATTGGTTTCATTTTTTTTCCTCACTTTCAATCAAATCTATCATTCATTTGATATCATCCTCATCACTTTCTTTGTGTGATTACCTCAACCTTTCCCTAAGGCTTTTTTATCCTCATCATTATCATCAATAGTTTTGGCATGTTGATCATCAGAATCATTTTGTCAACAGAATCAAAATTGTCCTGAAGATGATGATGACTTAATATTAAAAGAAAGCAAGAATCTCTCTCTCTCTCTCACTTTGTGGTAATAATTCAATATCACAATTAACGCCTGATGATATTGTATGATAACAATTGATTAATTGATTGTCAAGTTGATTATGTTTGTTTGTTCATTGATTTTAATGGTTAGCTGATGATTCTGGCACCTTAATTGTTGATAATATGGAGGAAGAAGAGGAAGAAAAAAGAATCAAATTTCAAAGAAAGAGAGAGAGAGAGAGAGAGAGAGAGAGAGAGAGAGAGAGAGAGAGAAGAAAAAATAAAGATGAAGACCAAGATGAAGATGAAGATGATAAAAAATTTCTCTCTCATTATCTTCCTAATCATCTTAATCTCTTTCATTGAGAGAGCGAGAGAGAAAAAGAAAGACTTAGAAAAGCAAAAGAAAGTAAAAAAAAAAAGATCAACCTTGAAAAAGTTTCTTCGTCTTTCCTTTTGATTGTGTTCACAATCATTGACAGTAATCAACTAATCTCATTTTACAATCAAATTAACTTTTCCTTTAAACTACACTTAATTGTTCATTCACTGATTAACTTAATTGATAACAATTTAAACTTTTAAACACAATGTTTCAATTGTGAAAGAGGAAAACAAACTTTGATTATCATCAATGGACAATAATCTGGGAAACCTTTAAATTGTTGCAATCAAATTAAGTGTATTCATTTAACTGTTGACACAATTAACACAATATTAAAATATAGAAAATGATAACAATCAAATGATGATCACAATTTAACACAATAATTAAAAAAATGTAATCTAATTGCTGAGAAATGACTAATCAATAGTATTACTTATTAATTACTTTCTCTTTAAATTTTAATTGTCAACTGATTAACTTTCAACTTTTAATTGAGTTTAAATTTTGAAATTATTGTGATTTCAATTGAAAGTAATGAAAACAAATTAATCCTATTCAATATATTTAATATAAATATCATTACCTGACAATTAATCATTAATCATTATCAATCATATAAATAAACATTGATTAACATTGATTATGATACAAAACCACAGTATTAGTTAATCAATTGAAAATTTTGATTGGTAAAAATAAAAAGTTATCAAAAAAAAATTGATTGTCTCAATTGATATGGTTACAATTAATTGATTTGTTTCATTTCATTTGATTGATTTTTAATTTGATGACGATGATATGTATCATTAAGTGTCACATTGATTTGATATCATGATTTGTTGAAGATGATTAAGATGAGGATGATTAAGATAAAGATGAGGATGATAAGGTAAAGATGATGAAGAATAAGAAAAAAAAAGTGAGAAAAGTGAGTTCGGTTTGAGTGAGAAGTTATTTTCTCAATGACAGGTAATAATTACTTTTTATCAGTTATCTTCAATTTTTTATCATCCTCATCATCGTCTTTATCATAACCTCTTATTACCTTTTAGTTTTTCATCCTGGGATGATGAAGATGAGAGAGAGAGAGAGAGAGAGAGAGAGAGAGAGAGAGAGAGAGAGAGAGAATTACCTTTGACCCTGAAAAAAATGAGAAGAAAATTTTTTTTATCTTCTCTTGATTTCTAAATACCTTTTAATGTTGATCTTGGGTTTAACTTTGCAATTACAATTGGATTTGTTGATTGTTATGAGATTGGTCACAATTTACTTCTTGAAATCTTAATTGTAATTAACTAATTGTCTTATTAATTGTTGTTATTATTTAGCATCCATATCCATCCGAAGACCAAAAGAAGCAATTGGCTCAAGACACGGGTCTAACCATACTTCAAGTAAATAATTGGTAAGTTAATTGTTAACCTTAATTGTCACAATTGAAGAAAAACTTTTATCCAAAACTTAAATTAATTGAAACAGTGAAAATTATATAATCGCAATTGGCTTGAATTTGCTTTTATTGGTTTTAATAGTTAAAGGATAAGATAATCGAGAGACTTGGATTTTAATTATAATCCAAAAGGATTTGTTTTTATTTGACAAATTGTTGACTCATTGATTGTGTATATTTAATGATAACAAGGATGATGATGAGTTTGAGATTATCAATGAAAATCCAAAGTAAACTAATAATAACAATCAGATTCAAGTGGGTGGTGGATGAGGATGAAGATGAGAAGGTTGGAAAGATACAAAGAGAGGGAGAGAGAGAGAAAGTTTTGTATTCTATCCTTCAAGTAATATGATAAGAAAATGAGAAAGAGAGAGAGAATCAAGATGAAGATGAGGATGAGGATGAGGAAGATGCTACACAAAAAGGGATAAATGTTATATGTAAGTTAACCCAAAAGTATCAACCGACAAGTAGTCAGGGGTTTATCCTTAATCCTTAATACAGAAACAAACTCGTCCCCTGTAAACAAGATACAGACAAAAGTTGCTTTTGTTTATTTGTTATTGTTTTGTTTCTGTTCATAAGGATAACATCCTAAATCCTTTGAATATGCTGAAGATGAGGATAAAGTAACAGAAACAGTTTATATATTTTACTTATAGACAAGGGAGTGGGAATAATGGGAAAGTGTGAAAGGTATAATACATTTACCACCGAGGAGATGATAGAGAGAGAGAGAGAGAGAGAGAGAGAGATTGAGGGTTATAGGGACAATTTCATTCATTTTGGTCTGCGAAGAGAAAGAGAGAAATTTGAATCGAATCGAATTGAAGGAAAAGAAAAACTCGAAAAAAATTCCAGGAGAGAATTCGAATAATATTAGTCGTCTTATCATCTTCATCTTTTTGTTAAAGATTGATCGTTAATTTCATCTTGATCGTGGCTCGATTTTTGTTTTTGGGTTCAAATTTTGTTCATGAACTTTTTCCTGGTGGAAAAGGAACCAGGAAGAGAGAGAAAGAGAGAAATATGAATGAAAAAAGGTCAATAGAGCCAAGGGGATGATCATCATGATGATAATGATGATGTGAATTAGTTTATCGTGAGTTTATCCATGCTTAACAAATAGCTCTGTGTGAGTTTCCAGAAGATGAGGATGATGAAGATAAAGTTTCCCTCTCTCAAAGTGACAATAAACAGAGATACATTTAGATTCTGATTCAGTTATTTAACGTTAATGATTGTGATTAGGATGATGAGTTAGTTACATGAAATACATCAATTACTTCATCATGATGATGATCATCATCATTATCAGTGTTTATGTGAACCTTTATCATCTTGATCAGCTGACAAACATCATAATGATTAGTTTCCTTTTTTATTAATCTTCGAATTAGAATCGGATTGTTTTTTTTTCATCTATTCTCTCTCGTTCTCTGGATTAACTTTACCTTGCAAACCATTTCCGAGTTCATTTCTGTTTCCGGAATCGACAGATGACGAGAATGATGATTTAAGATGATGATGATGATGACCATTAGTATTATCTAAATGTAACGGAAATTGGAAGAGTGAAAGAGAAAGAGAGAGAAAATAAAGAACGAAGATGATTAAGATGATAAGGAAGATGAACTGATGGTGATGATCGCGTGTGGATGAAGGATGAAAATGATTTGGAAGATGATGAAGATAATTATGACTTCTCATTCATTCAAATCTATTACAATACAATTACTTTAATTGTTGTTTCCTTTGATTGTTAACTATTTAAATGTAATTCAATTGATCATCATCACCCATCATGTTTATTATTTACATCCAATGATGATGATGATTAGTAGGATGATAAAGCCACCCAAGGATCATCTCTCATCGTGTCCACCTCTTAATTACTGTTAATCTAATCATGATTACCCTTAACAATCAGCTGATTTTGATAATAGTTATTCATTAAAGGAAAACAACAAAAAAAATGATTCTTTCCATTGAGTAAAAACAACAACAGATAATAATTAATTGTCAACTTATCCAAACGTTAATTGTGGGTGACAATTAAAAGCTAATTAGATTTACTTTCCTAATCTAATTGTTGTTATTGTTGTTTTTCCAATTCCTGGTAGCACAAGGTGATTAAAGTTAATTGCTAGACACCCAAAGAGTAGCAATGGAATACATTTAATTACAATTAAATTGTAAGTTTCGAGTGAGGAAAATACAAAATGAAAAATGAAAATTTCCCGCGAAAAGTTGAAACTTTTGAAAAGTTTGCTAATTGTTGTTCTTGTGATACTTAATCATGGAGATAACTGTTGTGATAATTAGTTGATTGTGCTAATAATAATCTTGATTACATTGAATCAGTAAAATGTATTAAAAGTTACTTATCTTCACCTTTGCCATTCATTATCATCCATCATCTTGATTCATCTTTACCTGTCTTCATTGGTTATCATCCTAATCATCATCATCATCTTAATCATTACAAGTTAACTAATCATTTGATTACTTGTCACTTTATTATGAAGCCAATTTAATTTGCATTTTGAGTGGACTATTACAATTAAGGTGTGTGTGAGTGTTTAAAGTGTTTTAGTTAAATTGTTCAACAATCAACAATATTAAAATCACACACAATTAACTTAATGAGATTGAATAATAATAATAAACAACAACAAACCCAAATAAATTTAGTTAACTAATCAATTTAAATTGACAATTAACACAAAATAATAAAAGCCAAATACCTTTAAGATGAAACTAAATTAACTTGATGATTTAATGATTAATAGTTTTTAAATATTTATCATTTATTATTAATACAAAATCAACTAATCAGTTACAATCAACCAATTAATCATTATCATTAAATATGATGAACAATTTAAATGCAATGATAATTGTTTCAATCAACCAGGAACAGAATTATAAATTTTAACCAACAATTAAAGTTAATTGTTGACTTTTTGGTTATTGGTTTAAATTTTTTTCTTCTCTCGCCATTTAATCACAACAATTAACTCTGATCATCAATCCAAGACAATTACATTTAATCCCGAACAGTTTTCAAGTAATAGTAACTTTTTTTTTCTTGCTGTTTGTACTCGGGAACAATTAACAATTATCAGTTAATTGTTATAACAATTTAGAAATGTTATCAACCTTGATTGTTATTTCCTGATAATCAACAATCAACAAGAACAACAACAAAAAAAAAGGATAAACAATCAAAATGAATGAAAAGTTTTTCCAGTTAAATTGTTACTTTATTTACTCAATTGTTTTCTAAACTTTGTTAATATTTTAATTGCTGGAATTAAAAACAACAACAATCAGTAGTTACTTTCATCAATGATTTAACTAATTGTTTAACCTTTAGTGTGAAAATAACTAATTACCTGAGTTTTGATGATTTATTAATTGTTTACAAAGATTCACAATAAAAAACGAGAAAAACAAATCCGATCCAATCACAATTAACAATATAAATTATTAAGAAATTACAACAAGATGACAAATAAAATTAACTAATCACAATTGATTAAGAAAACTTGATAATATAAATATACCTAAACTGTTGTACAATTAAACAATCAATGAATTGAAATAAATGTGAAAATATAATCAACAATGAAAAAACTGGACAAACAAAATTAAAGGATAATTTCAATGATTTAGAAATGATTAAGTTTAAAAGATTAACAAACAATAAAGTTAATCACTTTAATCTTTTACTGTTACTTTGTGTAATGATAAGCGAATTGATTATAAATGATTAATTCAATTGTTAACCTGCTACAATTGAGATCGACAATTGAAATTGCATATAAAGACCATGATGATAATCAGTTGAATGATATTATTTATATTACATGTTATTAAGTGTCAAGTATTGATGACGAACCATTGATGTGACTACAAAGAGCCTTCAGGCCTAAAGATTGAACCTTTTAGGAGGAGAAAATTACTCAACCTTTGCCCCTCGAACTGTACATTTCCTAATGTACATTTAACTTTCAAGAGTCTCTAAGGGTAAAGAGCTTTTCGATTACTATTATTATCATCTTACTATTTACTTTTAGAACTTTGTTCTATTCTAGCTTCTTCATCTTCTTTCGATTATATCATTACTCTACAATTAGATGAATGTTCTTGTCGAACTTACCTTCCCATTAGAACTCGAAAGTTTTGTATTGTAAAGTTTGTTTTATTTTTTGGGATTCGAAAGACAAAAGAAAAAGTTTTTCTTTCTTTTCGATTGACAATTAGTTAACTTTGACTTGTTGTTGTTGATGATTGAGAAAATTATTGATTTAATTGTTAAACTTTCATATTATCACAACAATTTGATTTGTAACGTTTTCGCAAATAATTTACAAACAATTGATTACTTGACCATTTTGATTGTTGATCAATTACAATCTTTAAAATTGATTAACAATCAAAGTTAACAGGTTATATATTAAATCATTTCATTGATTAATTATTTATAAGTGTGTATGTGTGTGAGTGTGTTGGATCAACAATCGTATGTGAAAATTAATTAAGAGTAAAATAGTTGAGTCACCATTGATTGTTGATTATTCAGACAAGAAAAATGGAATAGATTGAAATCAAATTCATGATTAGAATTTTCAATTTTCAATTCGATTCCAATTTCTCTCTCTCTCTCTCTCTCTCTCTCTCTCTCTCTCTCTCTCTCTCTCTCATGGTAGTTAGATTTACCACCTTCCCCACACCACCACCACCTCTCTTGGAATTGAATGATTATCATAATGTAAATTTTACCGACTTTGAGAAAAAAAAAGTTCTAATGAAAACTAAGAAGCGAAACTAAAATTTTCATGATAACCATGAAAATAAGATTTAGATACGGATTCTTAAGTTCTGGTTGAAGTTTCCATTCAGAGTTTTCATCATGATTTGTTGCTGACATGTTGATGTAGACATTT